AAACGGCACAAGAGTGACAGTGAAGTGTGCGCTATATTTACGTTATGATGTTTAGTTACTGAGTTATTTGCGTGTAAAACATTTATCTCCCTTCACTCGAATTAGAGGAAACAAAATTACTACTCCTATTTCTTACTTAGTCTTGGCTACAATTCCAATGTTAAATTCAGTAAAAAAAAATGAATAAACTTCCTTCAACATGGAGTTTTACGTCGGTGCCGTAAGATTCTCTTTCGCCATTTATCTATTTAATTTTATTGTTAACAGTGAGTTTTGGTTTATCATCAAAAGTTTATGAGAATGATGGTGCCAATTCTGTTGTACCACTCTCAAGGCTAAATTCAAACAAATATATGTTTCCTTTATCTCTACTCTATTGCCACGCGTTTCTAAGAAATAATAAAAAAACAATAATCGGACGTATGCATAAACATGCGTTTACAGCATCGCACGCCTCTCTCTCATCTGATCTATGATACTGCATCTGTCAAAACCTCAAAAAAAAAACATTGAACGTTTACATTTAATAGCAGAAAAAAAAAATAACCTTAACATATGGGATAGATCCTTATAGTTAAAAAAACAATCGTCCCTGTATAATACCTTCTAAATTACAATTTTTGTTAACACCTTGGGCTCACCGTTAATACTTCAACAAAACACATGGCATACTTTTTTATGCATTTCACGAGGTAGATAATATGTCTTTTGTTCTATTTAAAACGCATTGTTCAACGGAAACTATGTCAGTTTATATTATATTAACAAAATAACAGCGGTCAATGCGTTGTACATTAAATAGGTTGTTTTTTATCGCGAGTCTTGTACAGGACATTACGACATTACACATGAACAAATAAAGAAATATATATATACTAAAGATTGCATCACATCGTTTGTAGGTACGTAGCCATATTTTTTTCTACTCAACGTTGAAACGAATTGCAATTTATCTAATGAAAGAAAAAAATGGTAAATAAATTCTTTAGACATTATGGAGATTCGTTAGTCAAATAACTTTCAGAACTTATCGAAATTGGACTTTCGGTGAGATTTAATTTATTTTAATTGAAATACGAATAAGATTATTTCTTAATAATACCTGAAATATTTCACATCCTAGACTTAAGAATTTGAATGCCTTTAGTTACATCCAATTATCTAAAAAATAAGTTGAATTTGACTATACCAAAACTCACGTGATCAACATTTATATTCCACTTTCATTAAGAAAATACTTAACAATCTTATAAAGCTGAAGATGTAGTTTGATGACCGTTATATGGTTATAAGGATAATATTACATCAGTTTTGGATACGGTTACGGTTGCATTTCAGATTATCCGTAAGTTCCGCATAATTTCGGTTTCGGATACAAACCCTGATAGATTCAAATTAAAATACTAGATCGCAATTTGCCGGCATGAAAAAATAATGAAATATTTTTAAATCAAGTAAGGGCGGATAAAACCACCGGCCACAACCAGTATGTAATATATATTTATTAAATGTCAATGAAATTCTTAATATCAAATGTTTATTATTAAACAAAAAGACACGATCGCCAAAAATTGTTCATACACAAAACTTATTTACTTACAACTATGCGTTTGTTCATGATCGTTAACTTGAGACGTCCCTTAAAGTTCAACAATAAAAAATCTAAAACGACATGTATGTACACAGAAATGCATCAAATTGATAATAAAAATTAAAAAGAACATTATCACTATCCACTATTATACAACATTCATTTTAGTGAACAGTAGCAGTACATTTTCGTATATATTTGAGCACTTTAATTATGACAGCATCCATAGAATTATTTTTATTATTTATCATTTTTTATCAAGAGAAGATGAGTCCATGAAATATCTACAAATAGTTTATGTTATGACGACAGACAATATTGCAATTACAAAAGAAAATAATACTTACAGCCTTGAATATATTGCAATAATTCTGTATAAGAAAAAAAAAGGATTGTAAAATATAATTAAAAAAATATTCTTTGTCGCATAGCACAAAATGACAGTTACAAAGGAGTAGCAAAATAACGACAATACGAGCGGAGGCGCCGTGGCTTAGTTGGTTAAAGCGCCTGTCTAGTAAACAGGAGATCGTGAGTTCGAATCTCGCCGGGGCCTTTGTTTTTGTTAACTAGTAGCTTTGTATTTGATAATTAATTTTATTAGGTTAATTTTAAACACATTAACTTTATTATTCATTTAGAAAAAAATACAATATAGCAAATTCATAATACTATTTAACGAATAAAATATATTATTATTTTCAATGAGAGAGTGAGATGAAAATACAAACGCTTCACGTGCTATGAGTCTTGTCAATGAGTTTTTACAACTTATTTAGTGTGTATGAGTAAAATACCTTTGCTCGATATAATTTCGAGTATATTTCATAGAGACGTGATGGCTGCTTACGTAGTTTAATGTCGTCGGCCATTCGGTAACCACAACGGGAGGTCCGTTAAGCTTTTGTTGGCTATTCAATGAAGTGCACAGTCTTATGTATTCTGGAAAAAATGAGAGATAGATTTGAGGATCAATAAAACCAATTTTATGTGAATAAATATATATTATTAGATTATAGATTTGTTTTCTAGAGTAGATTTACAATGTTATATAATTTGCTCTTCATCATTAACTACCATGGAAAAATTCGTCTACGCAGAAGCGAACGAGCTAAAAAACCTATAAATAAAGAGTGATTCTTGAAATATAGACTTTAAAAATGTTATCATAAGGACAAATATGGCGCACACATAATTTCTAACCAACACAGCGCATGGTGAATCTTCGTTTCGATAAACGAACGTATAAGTGAATACTACGCCATAGTTGTCCAGATAGTCCGAGGACGCGATACTTGAATCATTCTAATTTAGCTCTCTGTAGGTACATTGGTGAGTGACATTAGTTGTATAAGTCCCGTAAATTGCTAATGCGCTGGAACCTTGACTAAATAACACGCGCGGGACGTTATTTAAAAATATAAAGTATAGATAGCACAAAAGTTAAGAGATAAATTGTTTATTACTTATGAATTATTTATGAAATCCCCAAAATTTTATTTTAATAATTTAATAACAGGTTGTTAATTAATAGTATGAATTTTTGGAAAAATATCAATGTACATGTAAATATTGAGGTATATGTAAAATGAAAAAAAGAAAAACATTTACTTACGGAAATAGAAAAGACATTTTTTTTAACATAACCAAAAGTAATAATGAAATGAACTACATTAGATATATACACAGGAATATTTTTTTTCCAGTGCAAAAATTTTTTTTGGTGGTTCAGTATCAGTAATAGAACACTTTTCCATAATTAGTTAAAAAAATTTTTTTTAAATATTTTTATCCCTATCGAAACGGTAGAATATGGACACATTTTTTAAAATAAAACTTCAATGAAAACGTCTTCTCTTGCGTATGCCACTGTACAACCCCGCCGCACCCGGTAGCCCCCCGCCACAGCCCCCACCGCCCCGCCGGGACCGAGCGACGCGCGCGACAGTGAGACTCACACGCACGCGCCGATGTGACGTGTCCTCGCGTTCCCGCGCACGCGACGCGCCCGCCGTCGTGAGTTTTACGAGATGTACGAGTTTATCTTCTGAGTGGTGAGAACCTACATAAGCGCAATTCGGAGAAAGTATGCGACGAAGAGCATACCTCGTATGCGGGCCTTTGGGATCCGTAACCCCGCGGTCCCTAATGCTTCGAACCATTTTAACAGACGAAGTCCCAGAGTCGGTACCCACGATGCGGCATATCTCTTTGGTGTGAGCCAGCCTGCGGTATTGAAGCTGCTAAAAACAGCCGGACTCCATCCGTACCACTTTCAGCCGGTTCAGCAGTTCCATGACCTAGACCCAGTACCACGTCGAGCCTTATGTGAGTGGCTTCTACATCACCGCGATGCAAACATCTTGTAGACGGATGAGGCATTGTTCACAAGTGAGGGACTGTTTCTTATGGGAAGAAGTCAAACGCCGAGATGTAGAGGAGGCACAAAGTCTAGAAGACTTAACAATAAAAAATAATAACGCTTTCAGTAAAGTGAAAAGTGACACTAGTGTTTTAAACAAATTAAATGACAATTTAATGAAATGTGCACGTTTATGTCTGGACAGACGTGGACTTCATTTTGAACAAATATTAAAATACATGGTAAGTAATTAGTTAGGTATTTGTTTTGATTCAACATTATTGTAAATACGTAGTTGATTCTAATTTTTTAAATACGCCTTAACGCAGAAGTACCTATGTAACTTCGGCATAACGTTAATATTTTTTTCTAGGTAACGAATTTGTTTCTCTTTTATTTTTTTGCATTTTAATGGCCTTAACCATAAAAGTATGAAGGGAAAATTGAAATTACTCTTAGAAATCACCTCAGATCATGGCATAAAATCTAGTTCGAATCTAACAAAATGAGCGTTCAGTGACCCGTGTAGATAGGTACCTACGAGTACATGCCTACGGCGTCGAGCGAGCGGTCAGCTGACGCACGGCGCGCGGTGTCCATAAATGAAGTTTTAAAATCTCGATCTTTGATAAGCGATAACTTTATTTTTTAGTATTAGAACATATCAAAATAAAAAATACGTGTTTATTTAAATTACTTAAAGTTTATTTTCACAAAATCTTCGCAGTGGTTTTAAATTATTCCTGTATATATATTATTGGTGAAATTATGTTTACTTTATTGTGAAAATCATAATCACAGTTGCTATTTTAGTCAACCATAACAAGTAAAAACAAAATTTAACTATAACAATAGAAACCAACAGAAACATAACATAAATAACGTGTGATCACAACCCAACTCAATAAGTGTTCTCGTCGACCAGTGTATATTTATGAACGGTACTGATTTTTGAACGCCATTACGTCAACAAAATGGCGGCCAGGTGCATTAGCAATTTGCGGGGATTATACCTATATTACATCTGTGCCTAACCTGTCGCTAGAGTCAGCTGGCGGGCGGTTGGGGCGGTTGGGGCGGGTGGGGCGCGGGGGAGGAGGGCTGCAGCAGATGCTCGGCGACGGGCACCGGCCTCAATCTGGCCGGGACTTTCTTGGCACCACACAGTACCTAGCGAACGAATGTACACATACATTACATTTACCTAATGTTACAACAGTGAATATTACGCTGGCGTACTTAGCAGCACTAATACATATAGTAAACTAACGAACTGATTGATGATTCTTGAATAAACTCACACTATTTCTAATTATGAATTCAAATATTAATTACTTTACTCTTTGCTCACTACTCTTCGAGTGACATTTGATGTTTGTTAAACGCTGCTTACACCATCTACTAGTGCTATCTGGCGACAGAAAGTTACAGTAATATATCCTATTGCCACTATATTATTTATATAAGACGATCAGTAGCAGATACGATCAAAAAATGAATGCATGCTAGAAACCCTTTCTTTAGATGTCGCAGCATTCGTGTTACAAAAGATAAGCAAACGTTTAGGAAGGAATAAAAAGATGACGGAGAATAGGATAACAATTAAAATAATAATTAATAGTTGAGAATAATTACTGTCTAAAGAGATCTGAGATTGCCTATTACAAAATTAAAATTTCCATAAATTTTCCAAAAATTTCATATTTGGCATAACCAAGTCGACTGTACTATTACATCAAATTAGGATATTATCTACTACAGTTAAACTTTTTCCTTGATGTATTAAAATTTAGGGCAACATGTACAGCTACACACATAAATTAACTATGATTAATATTCTAGAGTATAAGAATTATATGTTTTATGCATTTTCAGAGGGAGGTCAAATAGATTTAGTGACAAAGACTCTATAAAAGCCTTCGACAAAGTTATCATCAGTTATTCTACAAGAAAATGAAATCTTTTTGGTGTCTGAAACATGAAACTATATCTGAATTTGAATCCTGATTGATATTATATTTACTTCTGCTATCGGCTGGTTGCTAAGTAGTCATAAATCTTTGTTATGAAATCTGTTGTATCTCAAGGATCCCATTGAGGACCGCTTTTTATCATCGACTTAGCTCAGTACTCCTTCTGTTCACGCCTACTTCAAATTTAAGATCTACAATTCATATTTCCCAATAAATGAAAATGCCATGAAACTTCTCCATCTATAATTATTTGCTTGTTTTAAGTATAAAACTATTGCAAAAGGTTTCGAAATTAAAGACAAATCATTTCAAGATCGAGGATAGGTTTAAATTAATCTTCTAGCTTTATTTACCTGTAGAATCTGTTCTATGACAAAACAGACTTCCTCATTAGATTAGGACTATTATTGGCCTATACTCAAAACACAAAAATAAACTCACTCGTCTAGCGAACACGAAGCATCCCTTCTCTTCTTCGGGCGTGGTAATAGAAGGTACTAGTTGCAAATCCGGCGTGGGACTCTCCTTACCATCCTCACCTACAATAAATATGTATCGGTAATCGTTATTATAACCTTTTCAGTTCGTTTTTAAAAATAACATCCTGATCCCGCAAGCTTCATGCTACTTTTTTAATAAATGAAATATTGATAATATTAGGGGATCAGACAACTTTCTGAAAACTGTTTTCAATAAATCGTTATGGGCTCTTATTCCCACAAAAATATTATTTTATTTAAATAAAACTCATTAAATATCCAAAATTATTTTTAACATTTAACTGTTTGAAAAAACCGCGTAAACGGTTATGACATAATTTGTAGGGTAAAAAGGGATTTTCAGTGAAATAAATGAATTATCGTCTGCAATTATTATATTTAAACTCACGAATAAATAAAACAGTATACTAACCTACAGGTAACAATGTAAAATCAAACAATCCATTGTACTATAAAATAAATTATGATTATAAATTATGACTTTTAATGGTTCCCGCGCTTTGGTTGGTATTTCATTTGACATGTTGGAAATATTTGTTTATTTAGTTAAAATGTAAATAATAATTATTTAGCAAAAGTATTCAGCGTATAATCTTTATGAACTTTTTAACCACATACAATTTAATTTTTTAACCAATTGCTGTCCGATCCCCTAATTTATACAAAGAGAACTACAGTACTATTGGTTGAAACCATTCGCCGCTTGAAGCAAAATGATAATGATACAAGAGAAAACATCAAATTGAGGCGTGCTGTTAAATTTTGGTCGCATAATTATATAAAGCTGGTATAAAAGTTTGACTTAGTTTTATAATAAGACGACATGGCTTTATCCATCATAAATAAGGATGATAAATTTTTTTTTTTGGTCCGTCGTGTAGATTGTTAAAACATGTTAAACATGAATTTTAACACATTTCACAGTCACATGACGTCGCGTTTTTGTATATTTTCTACATAATTGTGTCGTAGCGAGCACCCACGTCCAACTTTTATGCCCGTATATATATATTGTTAAATTGAAGTGATAAAAAAACGAATCTAATATCTTTCTATTATCGGACTACATAGAATTTCATTTCTTTACCCAGGCATTATTTCTATTTAAAAATGCAACAAAAGTTCAATATTTCAAAGATACGATAAAAGTATATAAATATTAGTATAAGTATACTGACCCCTCGCGAACACATTCAGCTCTGTATAACAGCCGGTCTCTATCATCTCGGTCTGCCACGGTATGCTGACGGAGCCGGTGTTGAATTTGCCGTAGAACGTGTCGTCGCCCGCGTCCAGGTTCACGCCCTTCACCGTCGAGAACTGCTCGATGTCCAGCACGTCTTTAGCGTACACCGCGTGGGGCTGTCATTGCATTATATATACATATTAATTTTGGTACATAAAGATAAAGTCGTATTACAATTTTACAGGAGACGCACAAATTTGTGTAAAAAGCGAAAAATGGGCTTTAAAAGAGTTTAAAAATGTGTAGAATTTAAAGAAATATTAATTGAAAGGGTGGTTGATATCAGAAATTTTCACAGGAATTTCTTTGGTGTGTTCATTGGTTATGAACGAGCTCAAAAACGAAAACAAATCAAAAAGTGGGTAGTTTTTAGTGTCTACGAATTCATGTATGTGATAGATACTGTACTGTATTGCCGATTTTTTATTTTCGATAAAAATATTCTGTGACTATCTCTTTTACTTTGTTCACCAGGAATCCAAAATGTAGTTGTTTTTTAAGATCTTTTTATTTTTAGCTTTATAACTTTTAGATATGTTTCGGAAAGCTGTTGAATTTGTTTCAGCAAGAGAACGTGACTGGTACGACACTAACGTCGGGCACGAAGGGCGCGTCCACCATGCCGGCCTCGAGGCGCGCGAAGTTGAGCCTGCTGAAGAAGCGGTGCGCCTTGACGTGCGCGGCGCCGCGCCGGCCCGCGCCGCAGCCGAGCCGCGCGCCCGCGCACTTCACCAGCAGCCCCGCGCACAGCGACCGCGCGCACTCGCTGAACTTGCCCGAGTACTTCTCCTGCTCGTGCTGCACACACCACACCACACGCACGATACACTCGCAACACTCACACGCCGTACTGTACACTCGTTGACAGTTGTATATCTACTAGCTTTCCCGCTTTGAAGACCTCTGAATATTAATGAAAACCGTCGTGTAATTTAAAAGATCTCAGCGTACAGACAGCGGGTGACGCCTTTTTATCATACTGTGTAAAGACATTAAAATAGTAACGGTCCCAATATAGAACCTTGTGGAACACCGTCGTTAATATTTCTTATATCGCTCGCGATAATTGTCACATATTCTATTCTAGGGCATGTATACAGATATATTCTAATTCACGGAATAGGATGACCGTACAGACTCTGACGAATGCCTTTGTTAAATATTTTACTTTCTGCTAAACTGAAAAACATATATCTATGGCAATTTCAAGACAAAATCATACTGACCCTATCAGTATGATTTAACAAAAACGAAACTTCTCACAGAAAGCGACGAGTTCCAGAGACCTTTATCTAGGATTTTTAAAATCTTAAGTAGCCATACGACTCATTCCATGGACTATTTCCCAGATTTAAAATCGGAACGGATAAGGAGGCTTACAAAAGAGTATCACTATATGTGCCACGCTTCGAGCCCCCGCCGTAACCGCGCGAATTTTATAAAAGAAACGAAACCTTATTACTTATTTAGTTAATCCCCGTAATCGGATAAGTTGTACATATTTTATAAATAATGTATTTGTGTTCTAAGCAAGTTTACAGGACATAGACTAACATGACTGCCTTATGTTGAAAACTATATAATAATACGCAATAGCACGTTACACCTCAACTACGTCAAGATGACAACTCATCACCATTCTCACACCGACTCTAACGAATTTCTAGGGAGCAAGTTCCGGACGTGAAATAGAACAAAGAAAACTACTCTACCTTCCCTCGTTCCCTATCCTTCTATCCCTGACCAGCCTGCTATTTTTGTTCCTGCTCTCGTTTTTTCCTTTCCACATCCTGCACCCACTTCGACCACCATCAAGGAAAATATCGTGGCATACTCTATACTATTAGTTGATGACTAATACAGAAAAAACAATCTAAGCCGAGACTAAATTCTGTACCTACCTAAAATTACATAATTCTATTTTCTTTTTTTTTTATTGTATATAGTTAGTTTTATTGTATTTTTTTTTTACATGAAAATATATAATTTACAATTTTTTTCAAGTTCTGAGCAATAAGCTCAGACGACAACAACGAGGCAAGAGCAAAGTAAATAAGTAACTGCTATTTAAAATTGCTTTTATGAACCTATTTTAGCTGTCCTATTAGTATTAAATTCATATAATGGATTTTAAACGGTAACATGTGAGACGGATAGCTATTTCATTTTTATCTATAACTAGCTGTCCCGACAGACTTCGTCCTGTCAAAAAGATTTGTAATGTGGCAGTTTTTTTGCCTACGTATTGTGCTTGTAATTTAATATGAACTTTATACCATAGCAATAAAGCTCAAATTGACTACGTTTTAGTTACAAATCATTTGTATGGGAAAAAGAAAAGGGCTATTTTTAGGGTTTTTCCAGCAATAATTCTAATTTTTCTCGCCGTAAAAACCATCTTTGAACTTCAACGAACATTTTAAAAAAAGATTTGGCCAAATTGGTCGAGGCGTTGTTGAGTTATGCGCTTACCAACACATTTTGCGATTCATTTTTATATATATAGATATGCCATAAATTTTATCACACATTACAAAATTATTTCAAAAAGTAAAAGCTCATCTATCAGAAGTAAATACGCCGAATCAGTAGAACTTCACCTACCATTCATTTGTAAGGTGTGAAGCAAATTTCTTACGATATGCGAGCATCATATAAAACCATCACCCTTGCAATACCTACAAGATAAGTTACATCATAAACTACGTACGATCTGTATGTTTAACTATACCTAAATTTTAATTAAAATTAATTTTTAAAATTTGTGTAAATCAATATGCTAAAACATCCCATCTCAACATTGAAACAAAATTGTCTTAAACTATTTAATCACACTAACCTTAACCCTCCTGTCCACCTCTTCCCGTTTCACCTTCTCCTTGCGCGCTCTGAACGGCGCTCTGCCCTCTATCATCTCGTACACGAGACACCCGAACGAGAACCAGTCCGGGCTGAATGTATACCGCTCATTATCTATCACCTGGTATATAAAAAAAATGGTTGGTTTATAAAAACATAAATAAATCAATTCTTTCATTATTTGTTGAAGAAATAATCGTCCACGGGATGGCTAATAATAAGTTCTCCAAATTTAAGTACTGTTTCAAACGCCTTGATGCAGGGTAGATCGATATAATTTGTCAATAGCACCCACCCGCAATATTTCAGCTACACCGTGATCATTCAGTTAGCACAATGTACATTATAGCATACCGTGAGTAATTTATACTCTATAGAAATCTGTAAAAGAATGGGCGCGCGCGCGTGTGCGTGTGTGTATGTGGTGTGCGCACGTATGTGTGTGTGCGTGTGTGTGTAGTGCGTGCGTGCGTGGTGGTGGTGGTATACCTCTGGCGCCATGTACCCGACGGTGCCCACGCGGCCGCGCACGCTGCCGCCCTCCGGCACGTCCACGGCCAGGCCCAGGTCCGAGATGCGCACGTGCCCCGCGTCGTCCAGCAGGATGTTCTCCGGCTTGCAGTCCCTGCACATGCGCACACTTCATACTTTACTATGTGAGTTGGCTGCGGCGCGCTTGACAAGAACGAAATTGTGTAATAAAAGTGCCTCTTGACAGTATAAAATGGACGAGAAACTGGTTCTTGATATAAAATAAAATAATAACTGTGCGTGTAGACTGGTAGACTATACGATCGTGGAACACGGCGACGCAGCAGGTCTCAAAATCAGTTTCGAAAAGAGTTTTACGATGATTGTAAATTAATAAATTATTATAAGTAAGTTAAGTAACATAGTTTAATTTAATGGAACAAACATATTCAGCAACTGTTTAAAGTTTATTTTGTAGCGCCTCCGCGTGTTTCAGCACCTGACCTCCATCCTGAGTATCGAGTGATGGTCACCTTTAGTACTTAAACATGCTGAAGTATCAATCATTGCAAAACTCTCATACATTTTTGTCACGAGCTCTCTGTCTATCAAAAACACCTTCCGTCTGACCGTGCTAAAACGATAATATCTCCGGAACACACCATTTCGTGCACACTTCGATATTAATATTCCTAATATAACTTTGTTCAGAAAATTTTTAATATCCGCAAGTAACTTTAAAATCTAATATAGGTGGTACATGTCCGCCTACACCAACCTGCATACAAATATCCTACTCCATTAATTTCCAGACCACGTTTTAGTCTAAGAACCCACTGCTTAAATCTGCAGTTATTTGCTTTTTTTTATAAAACTTATTTTTTTATGATAGATCTAAGATAGTAGCATAGGTGCAACAGGGATGCCTGGCAGAATTTAGCCGCTATTAATTTTAATATTATTTTTACACATTGCAGTCATGTGTTTTTTAGAATGATGTTAGGAATCGAAATAACAATGGTTGCCAGTTCTCAGTTAACCGCACCCATGGGCTGCCCCGCGTAAACATGTAATATCTTAATGTAAATTATTTGCACTTCCGTGTTTACCTAATGAATTATAAATCGAGTTAAAGTTTATTCTTTTATTTACATTAAAAATCTGCCAAGTGCGAGTCGCACTCGCACACGAAGGGGGTTACATACCGAAAACGAGCAACAAAAGTTAATTTTGATAATAAATTATAAGTAAAATGGGTCATTACCTTCTTTATTATTTTTTGTTTCCGATGTTTGCAAGTTAAAACATATGATTAACCGTGACGAACACAATATTAAATTTTGTGCGTTGGCTACATTTTTTTTTACTGTAACTAACTGTTAAATTGCAGACTTGGGTTTAATCGCAATGCGGTCCGAGCCTACGAGTGTATATGATCGATCTGTTAAGGTACATATTGGCCCGCACCTGTATACGATGCCCATTTTATGCAAGTGCTCGAGGCCGCAAGCAACTTGAGCTGCATAAAACCTCGCACGCTCCAAACCGAGCCCCGTGTCGGCGCCACACATATTATATATATGGAACTTCAAATCGCCACCTGTATAACAAAATTATCATATTTATTCTCATCATACCCAATTACAATTTTCCTTTTTTTCATAAAGTTCCAAAATTAGTATAAAAAAATTCTAGTAAAACTTCGCCGCTAAGGACCTATTGAAAGCACGACGTGTTAAGAAAAAGTTTCAAAAGACGTCGTAAGAAATCACGGGTAATAAAAAATTGAAATGCTTTTATTTCGTATAAGTCCAAAGCGTCGCCGCACAATTTCCTCATTTATAAATTAGGTGAGATGGTTCGCAAACACATCAGGTATTCATATCGGCGTAGAGTACAAAATCGAATGGAGATCGACATGCACAAGTCAGAAAGCAAGAGTATGTTGTTCTTAAGAAACTTAGCCGAAGTCTGAAAATATTATTCTGACTTACCGCGATATGACTAAAAACCTAACAGTCACTGACCCAAATGGAATTACTGTAGCGTACATCAATTACGTAGTCAATTAATATTTATTAATAAATATAATATACAATGAGAGCCATCACGTGAGAGTCGCTCTTTATCGCACAGGATAATAATATGCTTTGCATTATAAATAGTATTTATAACATAAATATTAAGCCGGTAACAATGTACGTATGACGTCAAAGGGTAAGGTGATTATATATTCCACCGTATGTGCATGTTAATAAGATATTATTGTTTAATCATGTAAAGGAAACAATTTACATAACTTCATTTGAATAAAATTTAATAATACTAGCATTTATGTATTCTTCATCAGCTTATTATATCAATAAAAATATTTACAACCTCCATAGACTAGCAACTTTAATCTACGTTAAAAAAGATTTTAAAGGAAGAAAATATTATTTAAATTGCCCGGAGTGACGGAACATTACTTTTGCGAATAATTTTTCTATGGAATTTTACAACACTACATCTGTCGGGCGGGTCAGCTAAGAATAGATAAATATAGTAAAACAACTAGTATAGTAAAACACAACAACTTCAACGAAGTCACACAAAAATAAAATTATGCTCCAGCATTATAGAGGGTGATATTGATAGCAGAATGTTGGTCCTTCGAGCCGGACATCACTGACCGTTCATAATGGTGAGCACTAGGCAGAGCGCGTCCTTCGTCTCATAAGCGTACGCCAGGTTGACGACGAACCGCGAGTTGATCCGCTGTAATATTTGCTTCTCTATCAACACCATCGCCTCTCCCTTTCGCTTTTTTATCCTCTTCTTTTCGAGCTTCTTGCAAGCATACATTTTTCCGGTTGCTCTAACCTGCCACAAAGAAAATTAATGTATAATAAAAAATATGCTGCTATCTATATAATATAATGTGTTAAATGAATGATTCTGTAATAGATATACTATACAAATAGAATTCCAAATTAATATTTATGTTTAAATGTATATATGTAGTTAATCTAACGTTATTTTCCATGGGAATGAAGTTTCTTGTCTACAACCTTAATAATAAAAACTACATCAATTTGTCACTTCTTAATTTACTTAATCACAAAAAAGTACTATATTGAACAATAATTTATTGGATATTTTAAGTATGTGGTGTTCTTCAATAAAATTTTCCTGGAAAGTTATTTTATGGATTGATAAAAATAAACTTGGTGTTTTGCGTTTTTGAGACATTCTGTGTATAAAGTGGAATATCAAAAAGTCCCCTCACTATATTGCTAACTATAATAAGGTAGCGGCACATAACATGTCCACTGTTTTAAAAAGTGGATTTTTTAGCACTGATATGTCCAAAAACAATTGTTATGAAATTAGATGGAAAAGGCAGTGAAGTATGTGAAGTGTAACAGAATGTGTGAAAAGTGCGAACATGCCTGACACGCGCAAACTTCGCCGAAGCCGCCCTTCCCCAGTACCCGGTACATCCGGAAAGTGTGCTGAGTGACCGGCTGAGCCTCCAACCACTTCCACTGCAGGTATCGGTGGAAATACATCGACCGCTCGAACTCCGCAAACGGAGTGCCGGCGAGGAAGTTTTTTACGCATTTGATGCATTCTGTGAATATGTCTTTTGAGCCACCTGTCACGAAAATTTTGAACATTAATAATAGAAACTCTAAAAATCCTGGTCGATGAAACTTAATAGCAAATGAGAGACAGAGAACAAAGTGAGTCACTTTTCAAACAAAATTTTAAGACCATATGATAAAAAATAATAACCTCTTCTAGACAGTACAAGACGCGCAATATGTAATTATTGTAAAGATACTTTTTATCACAATCTCTGAGGGTCCGATTCCAGGTCCTGGGACTGAGTATTTCAGATTTCCATAGTACAAGTGCTCTTGGTACTTAATTTAGGATTAGAGCAATGTATTTGGCTTTGTCTAATATTATATTTAGGAAGGAATATATCAAACGTAAAGTTTTGTGATACTTATTTATTGACTCATTATTAAAAATCTTTTTTTATTAAGAATATTTTTCAGTATACCATTATGAATGAAAAATTGATTAAATTGAGATAACGAAAAGTAAAACTTATTAAAAAATCAAATTCTACGAAAGTTAGCCTTCAGGCGAATACGAATAAACAGCGAGTTCACAAAGCGTATGAACGGAAATTATTCGAGCGTATAACGAGTAAGCAACCCTTTCAATATTTATCATGTCAGAGAATTATTCACGCGGTGTTAGTTGCGTTTGACGTAAACCTTCATAGCCTACTCACAGTCCGCTACCGAGGGGACGGGATGCGGTGTAACAACCTTATGATTTAATTTGAAACCGAGTAGAAGAAAAACTCAATATAGTTGGACAAACAATATGTCTATCAATATTCTCTTACCCCGCGAAACCACCTCTGAATTAACAAATTGGAGTATAAACTCACGTATGGTGCGCCTCTGTGTTTGACACTCTCAATTGGCTTTATTCATTAAATATAACAAGGACTTAATCAACTAAGTAACTAAAGCTTGTTTTATTTAATGAACACGTATGCCTTTAATACTGACGTCACACCTTAGTACGGAGGTAGTAGATTAAAATTTATCGCAAGCATTCATGAACATTTAGTAAGAAGTATTTTCTTTAGTTTTAAAGAATAATTAAGAAGAAATCTTTGGGTTTATATGTATCACGTATCACAATTTCAGTCACAGTTGTTTTTTGTATTTATTAGCTTCAAATTCTTACCCCTTTGTGGTTACCATTGCTTTGAGCGTCAAGTTAGCAGGTATACAAATAATCAGAAATATCTCGAATTTCAATTAAGTGAGCGAAATTAAAATTCGCGATATAGACTTCACTAATTAGTCACAATTGTATTTATAGAGTGCCTGCTACTTCAACGTCTAGTCATCAGGCATACTAAGATTTTAAAATATCTGTCAATTTACAGTGTCACTAATTATATGTCGCTATTTACTCAGAATTTATTGACATACATAAGACCCACAAACTCGTTGGTGTGCCTGCTACCTTGACGTTCACGCAAAATGAGGTAAACTAAGATTTTTTTTTATAATTCAATTTGACCTTTTTCGTCATCTTCTATAGAAAAAATGGACACACCGAAATATTTAAATTTGTCAAGGTTAAAGATATTGTTGACGTTTTAGGAACTTTAGATTACAAAATCTAGATGACATTTACATCGATATGACATTAAAAAAACAGACAACGGAAGCTAGTTATTACTTTACAAAGAAAAGCTTTTATAATCTGAAAAATAAAATATATATATTGTGGAAGCTTTACTTTATATATGTTATGCTCAAAGACCGAAACTTCTCATAAATTCTCAGTATAACAGCCACAGCGCGACATTCGTGTAGAAACACATTGCAATCAACGGCATGATCAAATCGCTTCATTTTGTCATCGATGATATGCAGTTCATCGTACTTGTTTAATAGAGGTGAATGTTTCAAATGCACTGCCCGAATAGATCTCGTTATCTAATTTCTATACGTGATTGCTAGGAAGAGATCGCTTTTAAGCGATGGCCGCCATTTTCTCTACTTGCTTGCATGTGTTAATTAAAGTTTCTTATTATGATAACATTTTTTCTTCAGCATTAGCGTGCCCTTTTCGTAATTATTTATTTGAAGTAAGCTCGATACAACTTTGTTTTTCTATAGAGAAAACTATATGAATTCACGTTTTGGCTGAGTCAGACCAGAACCCTCTGAATTAAGATGTAGTTTCTTATTTTAAATAACAGTTTTTTATGTCATTTCTTTGTATAAACAAAACCAGTTTTTTAATGCTGTTATAAACAATGTACCGTAATTCTATCTACGTCTCGACTCGTCCGTTCGACTTTGAACAATGAGGTGTCATTATTCAATCTCATTTTTTTTTCCTATGGTGTATCTGATCAAGTATTGTTGTATTCTTGTACGCACATGACAGTGAAAGAAGTAAAATCAATCATTTGCAGAACATCTTAAAATAAAACATTATGAAATTACGGGTGCTAATATTGAACATGATATCATTTTAAGTATCTTATCTTTAGCGGAAGGGATATGCATTACTGCTTACCCCGCCCCAGCGAAGTTATATGGGACTCCTTTCTGTAGGCCCGCTCCCAGAAGGGGAGCTAGTCAATATGCAGAGGCATATCTCTCTATTGTATGCAATGCACGGGAACCGGTTCATTCAGATTATATGCGATTAAAATCCTTTGAACAGTTTACCAAAATTCAGTTTTTTTCATTAACTGATTTAAATTACACGGGTCAACACGAATTTTGAGTCTGAGTTCTGTACCTCTGATTTTGATTACTTATGCCTAACTAATTAAAGAAAAAATACTTTTATCTAATAAAGTTTGCTTTTGTAGTTACTAAAACGAAATTTTAATTTTTATGAAAAAGCTCTATTTTTTCATTTCATTTATATGTAAAAGGAAAACAATTTTGAATTCACATATTTTTATTGACTTTAAATATACAAGACGGCATAAATAAACCCACAAATACAAAAAAGACTTTAAAAATGAACAGATTTGGTATTTCTTCTGTGTAAGTTGGAACTTTCTCGTATGAGCCCCCAAATGTAGTCACCCATCATGTTTTCATTATATTGTCCTTGATAACGTTTTTCAAAGTTCATTACATCCTGGTGGAAACGTTCCCCTTGCTCTTCTGAATATGCACCTAAGTTGTCTTTAAATTTATCCAAATGAGCATGGAGCATGTGGACTTTCAAAGACATTCTGCAACCCATAACTTTGAAGGTGTGAAGCATATCAGTAATAAGCTTCGTGTAATTCTCTGCCTTTCTGTTGCCAAGAAAGCCATGAATCACTGCTTTAAGGCTGAGCCACGCTTGTTTTCCGTAGGTACTGAAGAGCTGTAGGAATTGTTCACTGGCCATAATTTTTTTTATTTGTGGACCGATGAAATTACCAGCATTAATTTTAGCCTCTGACAATTTCGGGAAAAATGATTTTAAATATTGAAAGGCCTCAGAGTCTTGACGCAGAGTTGATGTTGATGACGTTGATGGTATGTTTGGGTATTCAATCTTTTTGGCATTTGTACCTGCGCGACGCTTACTTGGATTTACAACACAAAAATAGCAATCATGGATATGGTCAGTTGGTTCCCTCCATATTCTTGGTACTGCAAAATTCATCCTTTCTTTTTCTCCTCGGTACCAGGCTGGAAAAAAATTAACATTATTCAATAACGAATGACACATTTAATGTATGTGTCAGAATAGATATAGTTATATATATAAATTTTAATGAAAAGTATGATGTATTTTCTTACCCTCTAAAGTGTTTTTGCAGTTACTACATGAGAAATGAGGTGCCCATACTTTATCTTGACTTCGTACGGGTAAATTAAAATAAACTTCATAGGCTTCACAAAGTCTTGTATTTGACGACAAACAAATTTTTTGGCTCTCACTTTAATGAATTCGCCGCAAATATAACAAAAAGGGTCCACGGGATTTTTGCACTTTTTGGAAGACATTTTAGGCCTCACGACACATAAAATACGTTATTCCTTTGCAAAGCGCACGCGCACACTGCCGTTGACAGTTTGTCACTCCTGCTTCACACCTACAGCCCCCTCTACCCCTCTCCTGTATCTTATATGCAACGGCTCCTAAAAAAACTGCTAAAACGCTATAATATTCATTTTACATTGTGTAAAGGTACAAAAGCAAACTTTATTTATTATAAATGGAGTTTCTGCTTTCTTTTCGATGTATAGAATCAGAAAATATTCACTAAATAACGGACTCAAAGAAAAATATTTTTTTTGTTGACTTGTGTTATCAATCCGGAAAATAACCTCGTCAACTTTGACAAGGTTATATGCGCGAAACCTAGCGCATTTCCGTTTAAGCTTCATAAGTTTTTAAGTGAATGCGAGCGGTACACGTAACACTTAACCAATTTATTAGCAAGAAATCAAATATAGCACCCTATAAACAGCGTTGTCCGCTCATTTAATCCGAAATACGCCAACTTCCACTCTAGAACGGAACTTAACAAGAAAACCGGTTTATTCTTTACCAGTTTAAATTCCCTCTGACAAGCCAGGGCCGTCGTTACCCCTTTGTCAGCTGCAATTGTTACCTGCTGCAATAGACACTGCAGCAGATACCTTGCATACCTTCTAGTAGCGCACTCGTGTCGTCTATGACGCTAGCGCTGACCACGTCAGTGACAGCCTGCGCGTCATCTGTCTTCAGGTACTGGCCAAACACCTCCGAGGCGAGCGCCGTTCTCGTCTCGTCCACTTCCACCTCATACCTCTCCGCCTACGACAACGAAAGTTTCACATAATGAGAAAAAATACTTTAAGAAAGCAAAAATTTTAATAGCTCATCTAAATATTTATAAAGAGAGATTTATGACTGGACATGTAGATCATGATGACTCTTTGCGGTGTACGAGATGAATTTTACTGCTTTGTAGCTTATAATGCGCAGTCTCCTCTGTAAAGCATAACATATTGTTCCTATAGCTTTTCTTGGGTAATTGTGGTGATAAGAAAACATATACAGAATAGTTTCGATAGTGAAAAATATGTCACGAAATAACAAATTAATCAATTTATTAAAGTTTACATTGAAATACACATAGATGTTCCGATTTTTTTTTTAATTTGATCCTGTAGTTTCGGACCCTCTATTTTACGCTAAGAAACAAACAATCGCATCTTTCTTCTTTATAATATTAGTATAAAATATTGTTAGCTTTTAGTTTGGCCTGGTCTAAGGCGGACCAAGCTAGGCAATCGTCCATTTATCGCTCCTCAATTTTTATTTTATAAACGACTACCTGTCTTTCCTCTATTATTCACGCAGAAATTATAGCCCATGTCACACACGTATGATGTAGCTTTCCGTAGGTGATAGAATTCTTAAAATCGGTCCAGTAGTTTCTAAGTTTACCATTACGCCCATGAGCACTTATACAGATACTACTGATTAGTATTAAGGCGGCGAAAATATTTGCCTGGAGCGGTTAAATACGACGGTGGATTGAAAAGGTAGCGGCCTCAGCAAGAAAACAATATAAAATATAATCAAAGTAATTTTATTTTTCACTTCTTCCATCTGGTTTCCAAAGCCTGTATGCCGGTCATATAAAAAGTTTCTTCAAGGCCTTCAAAAAAGTCACCCAACGCAACTTCGAACTCCTCATTTGAAGGTGCCAAATCAGGGGAATAGGCAGGATGGGACAGTAATTCAAAGCCACAATCACGAATTTGAGACATAGATTCAACAGACGTGTGAACGCGTGCATTATCCTGATGGAACAACACTTTCTTGCTGAGTAATCGTGGCCTTTTCTCTTTGATTATTACGCGCAAGCGACGTAAGAGGGTGCAGTAATAAGCCGAGTTTATAGTTTCACCTTTTGCAAGGTCCACCATGATGACACCCTTAGCATCCCAAAAACTGACGCCATCACCTTGCCAGCTGACAAAATTGTTTTGGCTTTTTTGGAGTTGCTTCATCACGTTTTTTCCACTGCTTGGATTGCTGTTTTAACTCTGGGGTGTAGTAGTGTGTAGTACCCAAGTTTCATCTATTGTTATAAATCTGGATAAAAAATCTTGTGGATCAGCCTCAAACATTTCCAAATAGTCGCGAGAAATCGTGAAGCGTATTCGTTTTTGTTCGACTGAAAGCAATCTGGGTACCCACCGCGCAGAAACCTTAGAAAATCCAAGTTCATTGACTATGATGTTTTGTGTTCGTTCATACGAGATGCCAATAGTGTCTACATCTGATGATCAATCTTCGATCTGTCAATGTCAGATCACAGATTTTCCCGATTTTTTCTTCAGTCGTAGACGTCATAAGCCGGCCAGAGCGAGGGTCATCTTCAATACTCTGTCGTCCGCATTTAAATTCAGCAACCCACTTTTTCACAGTCGTATAGATTCCCCCAATTTTGTTGACATATCTTCGTGAATCTTTTTAGGAGTTATGTTTTTTTTAAACAGGTATTTGATGACCACACGTTGCTCAATTTTCTCCATTCTTTAAAATGCTGTACAAAGGCTCACAAAATTCAGTCAAATTTAAATACAGTTAATGCTATTGCGATAGAATTTTACAATTAGACAACCAGACAATAAACTTATCGAATGAGGTCAGTTACATTAAAATAGTTTAAGTATTTATGTGTTAGGCCACGAACTTTTCAGTCCACCCTCGTAGCTAGATCGGGCCTGAGTACATTCCTATGTATGTAATCAGTGAACGAGATTATATACAACAAATGGTCGTACGTAATCATATATGGCAAGTAATTGAAGCCATAAATATTATAAATCCCGAAAATACAAAATTATATAACATTACATAACTGTAAATAATGCGTAGGAAATGAGTTTATCCAACGGGAGAGTTCCCAATATATTCTCATTACGAATCCCCGCTTGAGGAAAATAAAAAAATGGGGTCAGTGAAAAAATCATGCACGATTAGGCTTCTACGTTGAGCATTATCTGCAAACTTCATTCAGGCATAATTTGCTATAAGCTGGTCGGTGTTATGTGAACCAAAAAATCATCTGCTGATTCATTATCTATACATGAGTATTAATTGGCTTTCGGACGACTCACCTTAATATGTTTTTTACGAAACTTTAATATCTTTAAAATGTAGTTCGAATTATTTGTACCTGTAGCTGACAAACGTGTAAATTATTTGTTTATGTATCTTAAGCGAATAGCCGTTATGCATTGTTTTAATATCAGTACACGTCCAGCGTGATAAACTCGAGAACGTTTTGTCTACACTCAAATGTCATTATTCTCGGATAAGGACAAACGAGATCCCACTCTCGACCCCTGAAAAGTTAAAGCGTCTCTCGAGTTTGTCACGCTACGCGAGCAGGAACAACAGCGCCACCACAGCAACATAATTTTTAATTAAACGGTTATTCCATCCCTTCGCCGTAATAGGCATATCATAGCATCATGATTTACAACTAAAACAACAGGATAACAGACATATTAAGCACATAAATTGTTAAGAAATCAATGACTTGGAACATGCTGCCTGTAAACACCATTATTCGAATCAGAAATAAAAGCGACTTATTACAGAAATATTAAGATACACCAACTAAGATTTTATTAATATTACCCGTTATCATATGAGCTTCAATTCGACTTTTTCCCAAATAATGATCTGAATTATAGGGAATTATCAGAACAATCATTACTGATATCTATCTACGTGATCAGGATTATATTCTGGGTCTCTTATCAACAGTGCTACCAACAGTACTGTTTCAACAGCAGATTTTTAGTTTTCTTTCACATTGATGCGCTTGTTTTCTGTTTCATTCCTGACTTTACTGTTTTCCATAGCGTTCAACGCCACCTAATTACACTGTTCAAATATAATCTTAAATAACCGAATGCTACATATCTGAAGTCACATAAAGGCACCTAAAGAAATTTAACATAACCATGGATGATTTTAAAGTCATCCATAGTTGTTAAATAAGAAAATAAAGAAAAGGAGGCAATTCAGGAAGGAAGTGGACATAAATATTTCGTTTCATTTTTCTTTTATTTTGTGACCAATATTATAATTTAACAATCTATGAAGTCCTGATAACTAATAAAAGTATGTGATTGTTTTAATTATGAGAAAAGTATGAAATATGCCTTTTTCACTAAACCTACTATTTTCTCCTGTTTTTTTTTTTATCGGTGATCTGTCGTTTTCTTATTTCTTTGGGCTGGCAACACTGCTTATCAGAATCCGTGACTCAACAGCTAAGGAACATCACTCTTACTTACAAATGAATCTATAAACAGTGTTTAGCTTTTTTTACTAGAAGTAAAAACAATTGATAAATAACTAAACAACTATGTAATTTTTATTAGAAACAGCATAAGCACAAACAATTTAAAACGTGCATTGACAGAGCGGTAAATATTCAGGAAGCGAAAATAATGTGACAAGACCTTAGCACGCGAAGATCTGCCTATTTATTCTAAAAACCTACCACGTGCGAATCGGACTTACGCATTTAAGGGTTCTGTACCATTATCCATTAAAAAAAAATCACGTTGGTTGTTTTCTACAGAGTTGTTCGAAATTTTCGAGTTAAATACAATTGAACGACCATTACTCTTAAAATTCTAAAGCCAACTTAAGTGTGACAGTTTCCCTTTTAACTTCGTTATGTATAGGTACTATTGACGTCACTTTCGAATTTTTACCCGCGACCACAGAACATAGAGAGAGATCGTTTAGTTGGTAGCTCTAGAAAGCTTAATTGTCACAAATGGTGTACTAAATCGAATAATGGCTTTCCCATTGCCCCAATGATTTTGAAAGACCTATCTAATTGTTGGGGATGGAAACAACAGTTTGGAGATTTGAAGGCGTTTATTCTTTCTTCTTATTTGCAGTACAAAGTACGAAAACGTTCGTAGGCATGCTTTCATACAAATCGGGTTTACTTAAGTGGGATTTGTTCGTTCGCACTTAGCTACTATCCTAACGCGTTAATTGACCTAATAGATTCATGTTATGTCGGTGCCCCTTCCATTATGCGGCGGGGAGGTCGCGGGGGGGTGCTCCCGTCGCTGCTGCCCGTGGTGTGCCCCCTCCACTCGTTGCGGGGGTGAGGTTGCGGGGAAGGGTCTTCATGTCCGCCGTCCGTAACAGTTCTCCCCCCGGCGAAGAGACGCTCGAAGAGATGCTCGGAGCCCCTTTCGCCGGATCGGACGGCTCGCCAGGCTCAGGATCGCAGCGCGTCCCTCCCCGCTGGTCCGGGGGAGGTGCGGATAATGTGTCCAGTGTCTCGGTGGTCAGCACGATGAGCTTCCTCGTTGGTCGCCGAAACAGCCCACCTCTGGTGCGTACGTCGGCGCTTCGGATCTCGCCGTCGGGCCCGGGGAAGATGCGTTCGATTACTCCCCGGGGCCAGATGTTGCGCGGTGAGTTCGGGTCGGCGATGATGACGAGATCGCCTACTCGAAGTGCGGCTTCTTTTCTTGTTTCGCCCCTCGGTACCAGCGTCGGAAGATATTCCTTCATCCAGCGCTGCCAGAAACTGTCGGCGAGCGCTTGGGTGGCCCGCCATTGGCGCCTGTCGCAGGGTCGACAGGGGCCGGTGAGTGGTAGACCTGATGATGTTCCTAGGAGGAAGTGATTCGGTGTGAGGGCTTCGGCGTCGGCCGGGCTGACCGATACGTGGGTCAACGGTCGTGAGTTCACCGCGTGTTCGGCTTCGGTCATCAGCGTATGGAGCACCTCTTCTTTCGGTGCCCTCTCGT